TGTGTTGTCTTTATAATTTGGAAAATGTTTGTTTCAGTCCTTTTTATCCTAATATAATTAATATTTCACTTATAATATTAACCATAGCAAATCATGTATATAAGAAAATTATTTTTGATTGCATGTTCGTAATTTCAACTGTTCGTTTTTTTAAGTATTCATGTTGGTTGTATATAAGTATCAAGTGTTTCAATAGCGAAATTATTCTAACACTTTAATAATTAAACTATCAAGTATACTGTGTAAACTTATCAAAGCTTTTTATCAAGATTATATCTATAAACTTACTCAATTATACATATATACAAATATTTATGAAAGTTAAATCAAAATAAAATCTCCCTCGTTCCAATGTTTTTCCTTGTCTTTGCACCTATATTTGTTTATGTACATGGTGCGATCAACATAAGTTAGACCACACCAATATGCAAGGATAAGTTAATAAAACACACTAATATGCAAGCGTAAGTTATTAAAAGCAAATTTTTATCTTAATAAGATATATAAGAATAGATATATTTTAATTAATAAGTTAGAATAATTCACTTTCATTCAAATTCAAATTTTCTTTTATGCATGGATTAAGATTGAATTTGTCTTTTTTTAGTAATTAGAGTATTCTCTAATTTACGTTCTGCATGCCAAATTTTTTACAACTTTTTTAACATAACTCTTATAATACCTTGAGATGGATTTTGGGTGTATTTGAATTCCTAACACGAAAAGAGAGATTACCAAGATCTTTCATTTCAAAAATTTTAGATAGAAATCTATCATTTTTATGTAATATGTTTACATTATTGGTGACAAGTCGTATGTCATCAACATACAAGATCAGAAAAATATATTGCTTATATTGAATTTGTGATACACACAGTCACTAACAACATTCATCTTGAAATCAAATAAGAGAATCACTTGATGAAATTTATGATACCATTGGCGAGATGTCTCTTTTATCCCATAAATGGATTTTTTTTTCAGTTTGCAAACTATATTTTTTAGGTCTCCTGACACACAATTTTTTGATTGCACCATATAAATTGTTATATCAATGTTGTCATTGAAAAATAACATCTTGACATTAATTTGATGAAACTTCAAATCATAATGTTCAACAAGAATTATGATTGTCCTAAAAGAGTTAATCCATTTCTTTTGAGTATAGTCATTTGCCACAAGACAAGCCTTATACATCTTCACATTACCTTTGGAATCTCTCTTGGTGTTAAATATCCACTTACAACTAATGAGTTTCACACCTTCTAGTAATGGGATAAATTCTCAAACCTTATTATCTTGCATGGATTTAGACTCCTCATTCATTGCTTCAATCAATTTTTCTAAATTAAGAACTTGCATGGTTGGACGGAAGTTGACTGGATCATCTTCCATCATATCATTATTTTACTCATTTTCTTGAAGAAATATCACATAATCATTTGAAATTGCACTTCTCCTTTCTCTCATGGATATTTGCATAGATATTGACTCATGAGGCATAGGTTCTTGAGGATCTTGTGTTTGTTCTTCATAACCAACCAAATTATCTTAAGTGGAAGATTCAACAACAATATCTTGTAAAGGTTCTGAATTTGCTCCATCAAAATCAACTGTATGAATCAAATATGGAATTTCCATTGACTCTTCCTCTAAGACAAAGTCTATAACCTTATTCTTCCCCTCCAAACTCAATATCATCAAAGAATGTGGAAGTTTTCATCTAAAATATTTTCTTTAATTAGGATCTTAGAACTTATAGCCTTTGATCTCATTGTTTTGGTTCGTTTACCTTTAACACATTCAACACAAACATCAAAGTTTGTGAAGTCAATGGAATCCAAAATCTCATTTGACACAAGTCATTCAACTCTATTTTTAGAGATGTGACCTAGACGTCTCTACCACAATGCTCATGAATTAGTATCGTCAATTTTATGCTCAATATCAAACGAATCCGTATTTGAGGATTCATTATAGGAAGCCACCATATCAAGCGTATGTAGATTATCATCAGGCAAAACTGAACTAATTCCAACAACATTTGAATTTAAAGACAATATGAATTCATTGTTTCCAAACGAACACAAATAACCTAATTTGTCCAAATAGGAAAGTTCAAATAGGAAAGTGAAACCAAATTCCATCCAAATGACAATACAACAAAAGTTTCTTTTAAATCTAAAAAAAACAACACACAATAATAATCTAAAATGTCTTATAGCTTCCACCTTCATCAATTTTCCATCTCTAATATATATTCTTCTTTCATAATCAATTGACTTCTGATAGCTTAGACAAACCTTTATTGAAACAATGATGTTAGTAGTGCACCAAAATCTAACCACCCAGTGTTTCTTAGTATTGAAACTAAATTAACCTCAAAACAGACCAAAGCAGACCGCACTTAAGACTCATGTGATTTGAGTAATCTCACTTTTCATAATATTTTCTCTCCTTAGAGGTACTAGAGTTCGTAGGAGAAATGTATTTCTCTATCCTTAGTGTAAAGTTAAGATCCATACAACGAAGAACAATTTTCATGTTCTCATTTGAGTCCTTAAAAAATGTTCCATTAAGAACCAAAAGTAGTTCAAATTAGCAAATATTGAAGCAACAATAACTATAATTAAACTCATCATAAAAAATATTACAAAAAAATTCAAATAATAGTTTGTCTCATCTCAAAACACCTAATGCACATTTATATCAAGTCTTTAAACAATAATATTAATTGCTAGATGTATCTTGATATAATAATTAAACATTAATAACAAAACATGTTTAAGAACAAATATGTCTTTAGATTAATCTATCATTGACAAACAAAATCTTATAATTATAACACGTTTATCATATATATATATATATCATCTCTTATATAAAGCTCATTATAGTCATCTTCTTCATTCACCTTTATAAATCTTCTCACACTTATATGATCTATCCACACTAATCTCCCTCTTTCATTCACACACATTCATCTATTTTTTTTTCGACAATTTTTTTACAATAACTTACGTAGCAGCTTGTGATTGATTTATTTCAAATATATGTATCAATAAAAAAAAATGTTTTTTTAACAACTTTATTTAACAATTTTTTCACAACTTATATAGTAATTTGTGATTGGTCTATTTTAAATATATAGACCAATAAAATAGTGACACATAATTTATTATTAAAAAAATTATTAAAAATAATTAATTATATATCATCATCGATCAATAAAATAATACCACATAATCTATTATTAAAAAGTTATTAATATAATTGTTCACGTAAAAAAACACATAATGGCTCTTTANTAGTTCAAATTAGCAAATATTGAAGCAACAATAACTATAATTAAACTCATCATAAAAAATATTACAAAAAAATTCAAATAATAGTTTGTCTCATCTCAAAACACCTAATGCACATTTATATCAAGTCTTTAAACAATAATATTAATTGCTAGATGTATCTTGATATAATAATTAAACATTAATAACAAAACATGTTTAAGAACAAATATGTCTTTAGATTAATCTATCATTGACAAACAAAATCTTATAATTATAACACGTTTATCATATATATATATATATCATCTCTTATATAAAGCTCATTATAGTCATCTTCTTCATTCACCTTTATAAATCTTCTCACACTTATATGATCTATCCACACTAATCTCCCTCTTTCATTCACACACATTCATCTATTTTTTTTTCGACAATTTTTTTACAATAACTTACGTAGCAGCTTGTGATTGATTTATTTCAAATATATGTATCAATAAAAAAAAATGTTTTTTTAACAACTTTATTTAACAATTTTTTCACAACTTATATAGTAATTTGTGATTGGTCTATTTTAAATATATAGACCAATAAAATAGTGACACATAATTTATTATTAAAAAAATTATTAAAAATAATTAATTATATATCATAATCGATCAATAAAATAATACCACATAATCTATTATTAAAAAGTTATTAATATAATTGTTCACGTAAAAAAACACATAATGGCTCTTTAATAAAAAAATACATAATGATTCTTTAATAAAAAATTGAAAAAGAAGAATCGTTAATATATCGAGATCCTTTTCCTTTATAAAAACTTCCCAAAGTTGGGATTCCAGCTACCCGTTTTGCATGTGCTTTTCTAGATATTTTTTATCTGTCACTTTTTTATCTGTCACTGTCACTAAACACCGTAAAAATCACTTGTTGGCCCGACCCAACTCCAACCACACAAAATAAAATAAAATCAGCACACACAAAAAATTAAAACGAATGTCCAACAATAATTAACCAATTACATAAGTAAGTCACGAAAGAGGGTCACCCGCCGGTTTTATTACTCAATTGGGAAAATCGGATAAGGATAGATTAAATACATGAAAATTTTAAATTTTAAACTTGTTATTATATATCTCTCTATAATTTTATTATTTTTAAAAAGACCAAAATATGTATTGTTATTATTGTTAATTTATTTTATAAATTTAATCTTTTAATACTAATACAAAGTATTATTATTTAAATAATGTTTAAAATTTAAAGGATCATGTTATTTTTATACTTAAAATTTTTTACATCACATTTATTATTTTACTTTTTAATTTCTTTTATAAATATAAAAATTTATTTTTTTAGTAATCATTTTATTTCTAAAATAAGTTCTGAAGTAACTCTTTTAATATTAAAAAATCATTTTCCTTTATCCAAAACTGGTAATTTATAACAAAATAAGAATAACACGTAAAAATACTATTCAAAATAAAAATAATACTTTAACACCTCTCCAAAAATAAATGGCAACTCATTTTAATAATATAATAATATATACTAAAAATTTAAATTAAAAAATAAAATAAATAAAAATAAAATATTATCATTTTTACATCTAAATACATTATTTATCATTTTTAAGTTACAGGACATAAAATTTAGACTTCAATCATTACATAGACCGTGAGTTTCTTCTTCCTCTCTGCTTCAAAATTTTGTACAACCACCACCATGTACAGTTCCATCTTCTCTTCGGTGGTGTCACCCACCATCCTTGCCCATTCCTCCGCCCCGCCACGAATTCACCCCTCCACCCAAACCTTAACCACCACATCGTCGTTTCCACCACCAAATCCGTCGCACCCTCCACCCAAACTGCCACACTCCACACACTCTTCCACCACCCTCAACAGCTTCGCAACACCACGGAATCGGTCCCGCAACACCAAATCCTTAACAGTGGTTTCACCCAAATGTTTGGCTCCACCATTGTGGTCGATCCACTCTCCTTCCGCATCCTCGCTCACTCAGAAAACACGTGCAAAATTCTCGGCATTTCTCCGTTCGATCTCTGCGGCGCCGACGCGCTCTCTCTCTTCACTCGCTCCAGTGCCCTACTCCTCGAGAAAGCCTTCAAAGCACGCGAAGTGAACCTGAAGAACCCTGTGTTGATTCAGTCTCGAACCTCCGGAGAAGCTTTCTACGGCATCCTCCACCGAATCAACGCAGGAATCGTGGTGGATTTGGAGCCAGCATCACGGACTGAGAACCCCGTACTTTCAAGCTTTGAATGTGGTGGTAGTGATGTTAAGCTTCTCTGCAACAGCGTTGTTGAAACCGTAAACGAAATGACAGGGTACGATAGGGTTATGGTGTACAAGTTTCAAGAGGATGAGCACGGAGAGGTGGTTGCAGAGAGAAAGAGGCCGGAACTGAAGCCCTACATGGGCCTACATTTTCCCGCCGGAGATATTCCAGAGGCTTCAAGGGTTTCATTTCTGCATAACAGGGTGAGGATGATTGTGGATCGTGACGCTTCTCCCGTGAGGGTGGTGCATGATGAGACTCTGGTGGAGGCTGTGTGTTTGACAGGGTCAACACTCCGTGCACCTCATGGGTGTCACGTTGAGTACATGGCTAACATGGGGTGTGTCGCTTCTTTGGTGATAAGTGTTGTTGTTGACGGTGGCGATGGTTCCATGAAACTCTGGGGACTCATTATATGCCACCATGCTTCTCCTAAGTGTCTTTCTTTTCCTCTGAGACGTGCTTGTGAGTCTCTGGTGCAGGCCTTTGGGAAAGGGTTGAAGATGGAGAAATCTTCTGCTTTGTGCTTCCGTTGATTGCTTTTCCTTCTCTTCGTTTTCTAATAATGTCAATCGCCATTAACGTGGTTGATGTACTCTGGTGTTTGGTGGCTTAATTATTCGCACGTCCCCGATACGGCAACAGGCTCAACTTCTTTATTTGCTTTTAATTTTCTGTTGAATTTGTTCCTAATTAATCAAGTTATTATTATTATTATTATTGTTTTAGAAATTATCCTAAAAAATATGGTGATACGATAAAAAGAAGAAAAGTTTGTAATTGTAGAGATTAGTAAGACATTTCCAGAATTAGACTAAGAACACGTACAACTCAAATAGTTCAATCAGAAATTCGGATAATTCAGGTAAGAATATGACAAACTTAGATAACTATAAAACATCTTAAGAGTTTGACCAAGTGTACGGAGAACTCAAATAATTCTCTATCAATATCTTAGAACTTGGGAAGTCAAACCGAATTATTTCAACTTTCCACTGAATTACTAAGTTATCTAACTTCTTATGCATTTTACCAAGATCTAGGGATGTTTTACTAAGTTATTTGACTTTTTCATATACTTTACACAACTCTCTCCATATCTATTTAAACTATTTTAGTTTTTTACGCACCCAAATATCTTCTTGAATTATTTGAGTTTTTCATACATTTAGCCGAATGCTCTTACTAACCTTTACATACTTCAATTAATTATTACGTGGTGCACCACTTCATATAATTAATACATATGTCAAGATATTCATTATTTGATTTTTCTTACTGGTCTAAATTTTTACATCATAATTTTTTTATGTTTGACATCGACATAAATTATCGCAAGAACATGTTTAATAAATTAATATTAAGTGTCAATAAAATAAAATAAAAACTTAATTTATACATATTAACAAATTTATTAACAAAATTAAAAATAAAGATCAACTTGACACACTTCTTCAAAATAAGAATTGAATAATTAAACATTTATTTATCTAAGAGTTAAACAAATCAGATAAAATTTATTCAATTTAATTTAAATAGAAATCTTAACATTACTTCAACATCAAATTATTTTTAAATTTTAAAACTATCTTTTATATTTTAAAATATCCTACACCACCGTCTCTTTTCTTAAACGAATGTCGATATCCGTTGAAGAAAAAATTCTTCAACGAATGTGTCACATCCGTTGAGGTTTTTTTATTTTTTTTAGTTTTTAGTTTTTTAATTTATTATATTTTAAATTAATATATAAATATTATTTAATTATTTTAAAATTATTACTTAATTATTTATTAATTAATTTTACTTTATTTAATAAAATAATTATTATTAATTTAATTTATGTATTATTATTTAAATAATAATTAAAATATTTTTTTAGTTTTTAGTTTTTTAATTTATTATATTTTAAGTTAATATATAAATATTATTTAATTTTTTAAAATTTATTACTTAATTATTTATAAATTTATTTTATTTTATTTAATAAAATAATAATTATTATTATTAATTTAATTTACGTATTTTTATTTAAATAATAATTAAAATATTTTTGAAAAATCTATTAAACGGATGTACTACATCGTTGAAAGTTTTTTTTTAAATAAAAACAATAAACTAAAATATAAAATATGTAAACGGATGTCAACATTCGTTGAAGGTGAAACTGATGTTGACATCCGTTTTATAACAAGGACAAAATAGGTATGAGATGGTGCATGGAGCATTTGGTGGTGGTGGAGGGAACAACACTCTCAATATTTTGATAAAAGTTTGACTACCTTATTAATTTTAAGTTTACTCAAATAAATCATTCTCAATTAATTTAATTTTTTTGATAAAATTTGAAAATCATTAAAAAGGTATAATTTTAACTAAAGTAACAAAATCATATTTCACTTACATAAATATTTTTTATATTATAAAAAATATGTAATATTTAAAAAATATATTTACATTATTTTATTTACTTTTAATTTTCTAATAAATTAAATAATTTAAACTTACTTGTTGCAATAATTATAAATATAAATAGATATAAGATAACATGTTAAATAAAAAATTAAGATATAGATATTATTATATTTATCAATGAAAATGCATATAAAATTTTATTTTTATTTACTCAGTTGTATTTCTAAAATTACAAATAAATCAAAGAAGTTTTATAAAATAACTATTATGATTTAAAAAAAAGCATTAAACAGGTTTTTAATTTATAAATTTGGACAATAAATTAAAATTTGTCCAGACTTTGATTATTATTATTTTTTTCATAAATCTTAAAAACAAGTAGATACAGTCTTATAATATTAACTTTTTGAACTTGCTAAACGATATTTTATATTAATATAGTTCAAATTTTCTTCTAAAATATATTTTAGATATCAAAATTATAATTGGATTAAAAAAACCATATTTATTAATTTTAATAAAATTTAAAATAAGACGTATTAAAATTTGGATATAAACAACTTTGTATTTATTTTGTATGTCTGTGTTAAGTTACTAAAATATATTCAATTTTTATAAATATTTGAATAAGTTTTTATTTTCTATTTTTAGAGAAAAGGTCGAAGATGGAAAGAGAAAAAGGAGAGAACTTTCTTGGGTTTATCAAAAGAGAAGATATTACACAAACACCAATATTGAATCAATTATACAAAAATCAACATTACTCGTAACGAATTAATAAGTCTTTTAACTTATATACTGCTCTACCTTATAAAGAAACTTATTTTATATCGATGAACCTACCGAAAATTTAACTTATGTAACAAACAGCAAATAGTTACATCTTTTAGCAGTGTTTTTCAGTTAAAGTTGAAGTTTCACTTTAACAGTCAGCTCCAATAAACTATTTTATTAAACATAATTACTTATTACGAAGATGAGACTGTAGATTTGAAACTTGATTAATAAATTATAAGAAAAATATAAGACTGTGTCTAAGTTTTCTGCTACTTTCTCAAATTTATTTATTTTTCTGAAACATAAAATAGTTTTTTTTTTTGTGGTAATAATTTAAAATTTTACCATGTCCGTCCTGGCTTCGTAAGGACACGTAGGGTCAGAAAAGAAAAATAGGGGTCAGATAGCATTATTGCTCTGTATTATTTAGCCTCATCAAATTCAAAACATACCCTTCAATTTGGTACTAAATCTTCAGTTTTTTGTCTGCTTCTTAAAAGCGTTTTCGAATTGGTCGTACAATTATTTAGAAGAGGCACAGGTAACAGTAACGGCTCTTGAAAACATTTGAGGGAGGGATTCACATTTTAATTAATATGCACGATGCTATTTATCGCCATCCATGCTGAGAACTAGATTTCAGTGAAACTCAGACTTCCTACACCAGAATTCTCTTCTGGTTTGTGTTTCTCTTCATCCTTCTACTGTCCTATTCAATCTATGGTTGCTTAAATGCTTCTCGTAGCAATCTCTGTTTCATTTCAACTCATTATCTCATCCTTTCTTCTTTTTGTTGCATATTACATTTTGAATGTAACTTTCTGTATGTTAATGCTGCAAATGTCTTTCCTTCTGCGATGTAGAAAGATTTATCGCTTTCTTCGTCATGGCCACTGGACAACTTTTCTCACGTACTACACAAGCTTTATTTTACAACTACAAGCAACTTCCCCTCCAGCAGATGCTTGATTTTGACTTCCTTTCTCGTTAGTATCACTTCCGGAATCCTTTTCTTCTATCAGGATAACTGAAAATGATAAACTGACACTATTATTTGTTCTTATAATTTTCTGATTTTGTGTTCATGTATAGGAAGGGAAACACCATCAGTTGCTGGAATCATTAACCCTGGTTCTGAAGGACTTCAAAAGATCTTCTTTGGTCAGAAGGAAATTGTCATCCCAGTTCATGCAACGTATGTGCTGCTCGTATACACAAATTGCATGACCTTTTGTAGCTTCAGTTTTGGATTTGCTTTATTTTAGTTGTTTTCTTACTATTTTGCAGCATTGAAGGAGCTTGTGCTGCACATCCTACCGCTGATGTCTTCGTCAACTTTGCTTCACACGGGTCAGGAAATTATTTACTATTACTATTTTGGAAAAAACTTTAAAAACTGGGATATTTTATTCCGTAAATTACAAAAACAGGACACTTGATTTAAAATTTACAGATTTAAGTTAAGTTTGTGGGATACAAGTCCCACGTCAAATAAAAAAAAGTTGAACATAGATTTATAGAGATTTATATACAAATAAAAAAAATGATATCTTCATATTATTTTGTTGCACAATTATACATGATAACTAGGAAATATTTTAATAGAATAAAATTTGGTACATGCAGTGGTGGTGGATCGTCGATGTGTGCATTGAAGCAGGCAACAATTAGAGTTGTTGCTGTGATGGGTGAAGGATTGGCTGAGGCAGACACTAAGCAATTGATTGCGTATGCCAGTGCAAATAATAAGGTGAAAGTTGAAAAAAAGGAATGATATTATGACATATTTTGTATTCATTTTATATATTTTATATATAGTATAATATAAAAATATAAATTTTTAAGAAATAAAAGAATAGAAAGTAAATAATGATAATGTTAAAAAATTTTGCTACGTGAAAGAATATTTTTCTTGATAAAATGAATATATAGCTATAAAATAACTTATTTTGGTGTTGTTGATTTGGTAGGTTGTTATTGGTCCAGGAACTGTTGGAAGCATGCAAGCAGGTGCTTTTAAAATTGGTGACACAGCTGTAACAATTGACAATATAATTCACTGCAAACTCTACAGACCCGGATCTGTTGGATTTGTTTCTAAATCTGTATGTATCTATTCACTTTTTCCATAGCTTTTGATAATCTTGTGCCAAATTGGATTTTTTTACAAAGATTTAATTAAGATTTAAATTCTTTATAAATTTAAATATTTTCAATTAATTCTTTCTGTTTATTGGATATTTAAATTTTTTTTTATATATTTCGATTAAGTTATTGTTGTTTATTCTTTTAGTTAATAAATTATCTAATTGTTATATTATTATACTATTATCTTGTTTTTTTTTTTAAAATGTGATATTTTAGTAATTAATAAAGTAATATTATTTTATATTAATCATAAAATTTTATATATTTTTTTAAAATAGCATAATAAAATAATAGTCACGTTATCTAATTCAGAGAAAGAATAAATGACAGACTTAAAAGTATACAAATTTTAAGTACCAAATATATAATTTTTTTTAAATAAAAATTAAGTTAAAAATATAAGATTTTATGAGAAAGTTAATTTAATTAAATATTAAAAAATCACATACATAATAGAAAAACAACGTCATATTTTATCCTAATAATAATGGGTAGAACACACGTGTATGGAATTAAGGTTAAAAGTGTTTTTAATCTTTAAATATAGATATGAAATTGAAATTTTGTTATGTTTCAAATTTTGAAATATTTTGATTTTCAAACTTAAATAAATAAATGGATATAATTTTTATTAATATATTAAAATTGTTTTCTTTTACGTTTTAAAAAATGTTCTAATATTATGAATTAGAATATATAAAATTATATAAATAGTTTAAATATTAATTTAAAATATCGTTAAACAAAAGTTTCACATAATTAAAAATTAAGTATGTTTATTTATTTTTAAACTTTGAAGAAACGAATTCCTTCCTCTTGCTATTAATGGCTATTACTTTTCGGCAAATATAGCGTCTTCAATGAAATTGCTTTGAATTGAAATCGAGTTATAGAAATTCAGAATATGAGCTTTTTTTTTTTTGGCATGGTAATAAATGGTTTTGACAGAAAACAAGTTTTTGAATTACAGGGTGAGACATTCAATGAATTATGCAACACTATTTCTCGTGTAACTGATGGGATTTATGAAGGTATTTATATGCTCATTTTCGCTTTTATTATATGTTCATCATAGCATTTAAGTGGTCCAAAATTACATTTATTTGATATACAGTACAAAAGTAAAATTATTATAAATAAATAAAATTTTATCATTTTTTTTAAAAGAACAATATTAAATGAATATAAAAATTTATGCATTTTAAAATATTTCTTTTTTATGTATATGATGTATTATTGAGTGTTTTTTTAATGCTTCTTCTTCATCAAATGTACTTCATCAAATTGGATTTTTGCTTTTCCGAAAACACTAAACTAATTTCAGAAATATCTTTCTGAAAGACACTCATTCCATCAAAACTTTCAAATTCCTGTGATGGGGTGTAAGAAGAAACTTGATGGAGTACAAGAAGAAAAACCCATGTTTTATTGGACAAGTTTATTTTTGGCCCAAAGGCTTTAGAGATGGTTAAACCAAAGACAAAATGTTAAATTTAATAAAATACTTCAAAATGTTCTCTCATCTAAAATGTAAAGACAAAAATATTAACTACAAAAAATAAATTACCTCATGAATCCATCCAACTCAACAAGACAAAGTCCAATAATATCAAAAGTGAGTCTCTTCTTGAAAACATAATAAAAACAACTCAGCATTTTGTTTTTTCACACAATAAGAGACAAGAAAATATTTACTCATCCGAATCTTCTTAATAAGTAAATGTGTTTTATGAGAACCACTTCTAACGAAAAACAACGAGATTAATTAATGCATTAAGAATGACACTACATCTTGATTTATTAAGAATAATTAAGCACCCAATAAAAATAAATAAATATAATATTCAATTAATTCTTTGTCACATATGTTTTAAAAAACATAAGAAAAAACACAAAAACAATAAATTATTATAAATCAAAATAATTGATGGCTCACATTATGAATATTAATTTCTGTTTTTCAACTCAAACTAATAATGCAACTCACACCATACATATTAAGACAAACAACTAATAATACTCGATTTTACAATAGAAGACACTATTATTATGATATATTAAGAACCGAAATTATAACTTGAATATTGTCTTTATTATGCTTTTATAACTTATAAGTTACACCTCTCTCCTGCATAATTACCATTATATAAACTGATGTAAATTAAAATAAATAAATAGAATGATACGTTTTAATGGTAAAAAAATAAAGTCTTTTTTAAAGATTTTAACCTGATAATATATTAAGAAATAAATTTTAAATCTAACTTAACATTATAAAACTGACTTATAATATTATATTTGTCTCTACTTATATATTATAAATTAATTTTATTTTTAGTCCATACTAAATATATAACAACAAAACAGGAAATAAAACTTCTTTAGCAAACAAATAATTAAAACCTGAAATAACAAGAGTGTTTTCTTTGGCAGCAGATATGAGTTTCATAAAAGAACCTGAAAGGGATCAAAATTAACAATCTTAGGTTTAGATTTTGGTTTAAAGTTGAACGAACGACCAATTAACTAATTAGTGTTTAAATTTGTTGATTCACCTAATCAACTTAAGACTTGTTGAAATAAAAACTGAAAGAAGACCTTTGATCTAGTGAAGGAGACATGATTTCAAGCTATGTTGTTTCTCTTTTTCAGAAGGGTAGCAGGAGTTACATCATTTGCTATCATATCTGAACCTGTATTGAGTGATATATTGTTTCACTGTAGCCATTGCCATTGGAGGAGATGTTTGCCCTGGTTCCACACTTTTTGACCATGTTTTACGGTTTAACAACATACCACAGGTAATGCTTTTCTTATTCCTTAGGAGTAACCTAAAATATGTTCCAATAAGCAATTTAGTAGAGTCCAGAGGATACTAGGATTTTTCATATTCTCTTACCAAACATTGATGCTATAATTTGTTTCATTATACTGTAAGATGAGGTTTACATTAAAGTATATAAAGTATAAAAGTTTTAAAAAATATATTAAAAAGTTAATTATTTGATGTGTTTTTACAAGAATGTTATAGATTATGACTAAAAAGTATTTATATGTTAGATTAAAATTATGGTAGTAGTTGGAGAGCATGATGGGTGTGATGAGTATTCCATAGTGGAAGCCCTAAAACAGGGGAAAGTATCAAAGCCTGTGGTTGCCTGGGTTAGTGGGAGATGTGCAGGGCCCTTCAAATCTGCAGCAGAATTTGGTGAAGCAGTATGTTTCAGGTCCTTTCACTTTGTTAAATTTCTCAATTAAAGCATTGTTCATTCATTGAAGGATAACATTCTTAGTTTCCAATGGCTCTTGCATGATAATCAGGGAGATAAAAGTGGTTGTGAGTTGGAGTTTGCTCGAGCAAAGAATCAGGCACTAAAGGACGCTGGAGCTGTTGTTCCCACATCATATCAAACTTTTGAAACTGCACTTAAGGAAACATTTCACAAATTGGTTAGTATGCATTAATATTGAAATCACAGTAATGTATATTAACAATCTTTATATTTTAGACAATAGAGATTAAACCATAAAAATTGTATACATGCATAAATTAAACAAGTAATTAATAATATGATTAAATATAATTAACTTCATTGAATTTCGATTGATTTCAAAGTATTTATACTAATTCTAAGTATTTGAATGCATTGAAATTCTATCCTATGCTGATCCTGGAAATAGGTAGCATGTTGTTGTTATTAGTTGTAATATTCATGGTTAGATAATCTTTCTTAGGTTGAAGAAGGTAAAATCACACCAGTCAAGGAAATCACTCCTCCTCCAATCCCTGAGGACCTCAGCTCTGCAATTAAGAGTGGAAAAGTCCGTGCTCCAACTCATATTATTTCCACCATTTCTGATGAGAGGGGTACGCTGGAATCCACTGATGTTAATTTAGAATTGAGCTGCATTTCATGTTCTGGACAGATCTGGTTGCTAAACTAAGGTTTTTCTAGCAATGTTTTACTGAAGGAGAGGATCAATGCTATGGTGGTGTATCCATGTCTTCCATTATCGAAAAAGGATATGGTGTCGGTGGTGTTATCTCTCTTTTGTGGTTTAAACGCAGCCTTCCTCATTACTGTACTCAATTTATTGAGGTAGGCTATTCAATTGTACAGAGCTTTCTATGAATATTTTCATGCTTTACTTTCACTACTCATTTCAGTTCTTACATTTATATATACAGCGACTAAAGAAATCAATTTTAAGTATAGAACTAAAATGAAAAAATGGGAGCAAGTAAAAAGTTAAACCATTTTTTTCGAAAGCAACTATTGATATATATCATCTTCCACCTTGAATCTTGATGATACATCACATTGGTCAGATGTGCATAATGCTATGTGCCGACCATGGTCCTTGTGCCTCCGGAGCTCATAATACAATCGTGACAGCAAGGGCAGGGAAGGACCTAATTTCCTGTCTTGTATCAGGTAAATTCATCATACATAAAAGCATGCATGCATCCTTTTAATCTGCAAATTACTGATCTAGTAAATGCATCTGATAGGGTGAACAAAACTGATAAAGAATGAGCTTCTGAATCAGGTTTGCTTACGATTGGTCCTCGATTTGGGGGTGCCATTGATGACGCTGCTCGCTACTTTAAGGATGCTCATGACAGTGTATGTATGATCAGTGTTTTCCTGTGAAATCCTTATGGGTTAAAAAACCACTTTATAAAATATATATTGAATGTTTTAATTGAGAAAAAGGTTTTTACAGGGACTTACACCTTATGAGTTTGTTGAAGGTATGAAGAAAAAGGGGATTCGTGTGCCAGGAATAGGACACAGGTAACATGTTGATTCTATTGATTGAATTAAGCAAAACGAAACTTATAAATCTGAGGCTTTTTTGAAACAGGGTAAAGAATAGGGACAGGAAAGACAAGCGAGTTGAGCTGCTACAAAAGTTTGCACGGACACATTTTCCTTCTGTTAAATACATGGAATACGCCGTTGAGGTTGAAGCCTACACCCTCTCAAAGGCAAAAAATTTAATTCTTAACATCGATGGCGCCATTGGGTCTATTTTCTTGGATCTTTTTGCTGGCAGTGGAATGTTCACTGAGCAAGAGATTGATGAAATTGTGAAGATTGGGTATCTGAATGGCTTCTTTGTGCTGGCACGCTCCATTGGTCTGATTGGGTGAGTTTTTACGTTAACTGTCATTCATAGCTTCTTCACTTCTTGGACATTATTGCAGTTTTGGACCTTTCTGGCTTCTTTATCTCATGCACTTATGGTCCAAAGAGTTCCATTTTGAGTGGTCCTCGTATGTGAACACTGCATGTCTTTTTGAGAATCAATAGAACTCCGCACAAAATTAATGTAACAAGGCTTCTTCTCATAATAACCACTTCATCATTGTTTGTGTGAAATTTCAGGCACACCTTTGACCAAAAGAGACTAAAGCAACCTCTTTATCGACACCCATGGGAGGATGTTGTCTACACAACGTGAGCAAGTTTTTCGAGACTGCAATTACTCTGTCATGCTTTTCAAATTACCTCTCTTTTCTGAAATCTTAAATATTCTCAAACGATTATGCAAATGTTTGAATGGTGTTGTACCATCTAAAATCTATGTTAATTCACCACATAAATCTAAAATGTCTGCTAAATTAGTTAGTTTTGTAACATTTGCTAACAAATCTCATTATTTTGTGAGACATTCCATAAAGATAACACCAATTTCACTTACTAAAGGCAGATACCAAATATCAAAATTTATCTTTAAAGTTATTAAAACCCATTATCTAGTTATTTATATTCCATTATTTTCTACCTTACTTATATAATACAAATATT